GATCATCGCTCCCAGAGCAATAGCGATTATGCTGATTTATAATTTAATCAGCATATAGCTCTGGTGAGTTTATTCAATTCATTCGGTGGTGGATTTTCTTCACGGTGTCAATTGCTTACAAAAGATTTCAGTATTAATTGTCACTTTTTGGTGGTTGGACTTTATACAAAAATTGTGGACATTATTATTATTTTTGCACTTGTTAATTTTCATATTGTTTGAGGTTATTTGATGCATCTTGTGAGATGTTTAGAGTGTGCAGTGAAATCAGATTAAGCCATTTCAGACCAGGAGAGCAGTCTGTACAACAAAAAAAAACAGTTTTAGCTTTGCAACAGTGGAAAAAGCAAAATCAAGGACCTAGCTGTACTGCTCATCAGGGGTACCAGGATCACAAGTCTGGCTGAAGGAAATTATAATTCAATTGGTAGGTTCCACTATATGTATTTCATCAGAAAGTTCATCTTCTTCCCATAATTCCCGTAGTTCTGCTTCATTCCCATCCAACAAACACACACAAAAACAGCCAGACTGGTACTGGCAGATAATACTGTTTAATGGCACCTATGAAACTTTCACATACAGAATTTGTCATCGAGCGTCAGAAAATGAGTGCAAAGCACAGAACATGCAACCTTCCCCTTCTCTCTCTCCCCAAGTCTCAGACTTCATTATCGGCAAAAAACACAAAGAGAACAAAAGCTTTAAATTAATACTGGCAGCGGAAAATAATAATAATAATATAATAATTATAATAAAATACACATTCCGTTTTATATTTACCAAGCAAGAAACTCTACAAGTAGCATTACTGTGAGTTACAGTATACTTGTTTGCACAGAGGTGGGGGTTGGCTTAACACAAGGACCAGAAAACCTAAAAACGGGGAGATATCAAATCATATGACATAAATATCAGAAATACCTTCGGTAACACTGATGGGTTAAATACTCCAAAAATTAAAAAAAAGACTGCAGTACACCAGGCTCGTGTCGAGTTGGGCTGAGTTTATGAATGTTGGCGGAAAGGAAGATGTCTGTATTGCCTGTAGCAACCAATGGGAATGTAAAAGTTCACATTCGAAAGACAAGTATTGATGTGATTGTCTTGCCCAGAGCAACCATGTAGGGTAAACGTGAAACTAGTTTTGTGGCTGAGTAGAAAATTGCAGGTTCTCTGTGGTGGCCACACGAAAAAAAAAGGAAAGAGGATAGGCAAGAAAGCCATTATGTGTGTGGCATTCATTAAGATATCAAACATGGCCATTAAAAAATGGATGTAGAACAATGGTATCTTACATCAGGCAAGGTTGGGGGTAACCACAATGCTTGATGCAACCTGTGGTGAGCGCTTGTGGACAATATGTCTGTCTCCATGCAGATGCAGGAATGGTTGATCTCAATAGTTGGGTAAGTCGAAGCCTAGGTCCACTTGAAGGACGTCAGGATGGTGAAGTTGGTAAAACACCAAAAGAGTTCTGGTTTAGCAGGTGCCCCTTAATGAATGTTTGAACTTTATAGGGTAGACCATAAGTCCACCTTATCACCAACTGGTGTTCTCAATCAGTGATTCTTCGTCACAACCTTGAAAAGTTCAACCATCTTTTCACAGGCACCTTTGGGAAACCAGAACTCTTTGGGTTTTCTCCACCTAGACATTTGTTACTTCACCATCCTGATGTCCTTCAAGTGGACCTAGGATTGGCCTCTTCTAAGCATCGAGAGTGACTGCTTTTGCACCTGCGTGTACAACCTACAAAACCAAGTAGGATACCTCCTTAGCTATGGTGTAGTTATCTAGGAAGCTCTCAGCAAAAAATGGCTCCTCAGCTTTTAAGCCCTAGTAAGGACCAACTGGTATTATCAATAAATGTTTCTTCATCACAACTATATTGGTCGGGATCATCCTTCCCTTGCGGTCTACCTTATAAAAGTCACAACCAAGTAGGGTAGCTCCTTAGCTATGGTGTGGTCCTCTAGGAAACTCTCAGCAAAAATGGCTCCTCCGTTTCTAAGCTCTAGTAAGGACATAATGAACACTGTCAATAAGCATAACCTTGTTTTTCAAATGGTGGCAGGCATTGTCACCAGACTGTATCTCCAGGTCTTTAAAACAAGATGCAGTCTTTGTGGCTTTCATCCTTACTCTTGCTTCGCTCACAATTAGCCTTGACTCACCTCCAACCTCACAGTTTCCCCCCCAGAGTCCCCCGTCCCCCCACCACATTACTGTTCTACATTTTGTTAAACCTTCCTTTTTTCCTGATTTTCTCTATCTTGTCACATCATTCTATTGTCTTTTCTGATAGTCCACAGTCCTGAAAGGTAGACGCAACCTGTGGTGAATGCTTGTGGAGATATATGTCTGTCGGGAACGGTCGCTCTTGATAGATGGGTGAGCCCAGTCCTAGGACCACTTGAAGGACATCAGGATTGTGTAGGTGGATAAAAAAAAGAGTTATAGCTTCACAGAGTTACCCTTGAAAGAATAATTGAATTTATAAGGTGGACCTCAAATCCAGCTGGTGTCATTAATACATTTTCTCTTCATCACAACTATTTTGGTCCATATATTCCTTCCCTTGCGGATCACAATTGAAAGTTCAACCATCCATTCAAGGGCACCTTCGCAAAACTGGAACTCTTTATGGTTTTTTTTTTCCACTTACATAACCAAAAAAGGGTAGTTCCCTCCTCATCCTAGTGACGGATTGGACTAATCGATCCTAAAATCCATATGTTCGGCAGTGACTGGTGGTTTAACTAGACAGACATCTAGTTTAGACATATGGTTTTTAAAATGGATTAGTCTACTCTATTGCCAGGCTGAGGAAGGAGAACATCCCCAAAATGCGACCTTACAAGAGGAAGCCAACTGTGTACCTAGCAGCGGGCCATTGCTCTGTAGAGTTTTAACGTCGGTGGAGAGGGGATGGTCTGGAGAAGCATGAGGACAACTCTACCCTGCCTGACCCTATCCTCAGTGGCCACGTGTGGTTGTGGTTGTGAGCCAGACCGCACCACTAATATGCACTACATTCCTTTCATCTGTAATGTAATACTTTGTTTCTACTTTCTCAGAAGCAATTACACAATGATGTTTTGTAGTATATATGAGAGAGCTCCTCTTTCCATCTGCATGACGAAGTTGTGGGAATCCTCTTGATTTACTATTCTTCCCATTGGATTTATTTTTTGGAATTGCTGACCTGTTATGGACAAGTGTTACGTATTTAACACCTCTTTTTATGGTTAGTGCAGATCAGAACCAGATGCTTTATTTTTTAACACTATGGGACGCATTCGCAGAGCTATTCAGCCTGTGAAATTGGGAAAATACCACATTATGGCCACTAGATGGAGCTGAGAAGCATACTTATTTGTTATAACACTCACTGCCCTCTAGTGGCCATAATGCTGTATTTTCCCCATTTACGTTTTTCAATGAATAACCTTTAATCTGCATAGTGTATAGCCTGAGAACTTTTGATTTTGCCCCCAAATTTACATTCAGTTTCACAGGATGAATGAGCGCTGTGATTTTTTTTTTTTTGATAAATACACCTCTAAGTGATCTATATTAAAGATAGCTCAGCTGTTTTTCCATTCATATATTGTAAAGTGCTGCACAAACTGTTGGCGCTATATAAATCCTGTATTATAATAATCCCATAAAAGAGATTTTTCTCAAAAAAAATGTGCGCTGACGTGCCCTATTTAATGATAGGTCAACTTTAACATTTATTACACCTAACCCGCACTGCAAAGCCATTATTGGTTGTTGGGAGCAATAGAAACATCTTTGTTGTGTGTCATATACTTTTATTACTGTGATACCCATAATGGTGACTGCTAAAGTAGCCATACATGTTATAATCTGGTTGTGCAATCTCCATTAGTTCTAATAGGACTATTTCCTAGAAGCCGTACCTAAACAGCCCTTTCTATCTGTACCCAGCCAGGCATGTTCCTGTGTTATATGGTTGTAAGGAGATCTAAAGGAGATTGTACAGTCAGACAGTAAGTGAAATGGCCAGCTTACCACATGTGTTACAATCTGATTGTACAATCTCCTCTAAGCAGTGTAAGTGCCTATCTGACTGGTTATAAACTGAATTATTTGGACATCACACCACACACTTGGTTGTACAATCAGACTGACACATGTGGCAAGATTTAAAAAAAAAAAAACAGGCTTGTTTGGAACTAATTTGTACATACTGTACAATGTTGTTGGATTTATGTCCCAGCATTGGCACAGCCGTGGTAAATAATCCCCCTAAAGTGCCCATTTCCTATGCTCATCAGCTTCATCTAGTGGCCATAATGTGGAATTTTCTTGAAATATCTCAGCCAGAAAAATACTACATTAGGGCCACTAGATGGAGCTGATGATCATAGGAATTAAGTATATTAGACACATTATGGGGATGATACAAAGAAGACAGTTCAAGCGAAGTCGCCCTGTCTAATTGGTTGCGAAGGACAAGACAACGGCTTACGTGTGTGAGGAAATTGTCACTATGCTACGAGGATTCTGGGTAATAACTGAGCCTGTGACTCACAGCTTGAACCTCGCTTGGCGGCTTAGAGATAGAAGCATGGTGGGTAAGAAGCAAAGGAGTGGGGTGGGGGGGTGGGGTTATGTGAGGAAAGGGGCTGTAGACCAGCTACACAGAATTCGGGAATTCTCGATATGGCCTTGTGCGCTGTGATAGAGGAAAGGTGGTGAAAGGAAGTCTAAGAAGTAAGGTGGGCGGCAGAGTCCATCCTCCTTCTGCCTCCATTTAATCCTTTCAGTGCTGCGATCTCTTCAGCAATGAAGGGGTTAAACCCCGCGTCCCATGACGGTTTGGCAGTCCAGCTTCTTATCTTCAGTCATGTGACTTGCAGGAAACCGATATTAACCTGGATCAAAAAACAAAAAAGCCGCCCCGCCTCCTCTCCTCCTCGGGGGCTGGCTTCTCAGAACTGGCGGCTGGGACTTGAGAGAGACGGGAGTTAGGGGTCCTCTATGTCGAGGAACTCCTGTTTCGGGGGGGCTGTGCCCCGGTACCAAGAGCACGATCCGTCGCTGCGCTTGATGCAGGCGTAGTGCTTGGCCTGCCGCCCGTGTATGCTCTTCTCCGTCATCCAGTCTGTCCAGAGACATTCATCTTGGGAGCTGACATAGCAGGGGATGGAAGGGCAGCGTGAGATCTGCAGGAATATAAGCAGAACAGGACAGTTAAAGAGGAACTCTAGGCAAACATAAACAGCATACATGATGCAATCTGTCACTAGCATTAAAGGCTCATTCACACATGCTGCTATACTGCCACCCCTCTGAAAAGTGATCCATGGTTCACCACTCCAAAGGCTTTTAGCAGCCTTTATATGGAATGGTGAACCAGCATGGCGCCCATGCCCCAGAAGATGGCACATATGATGAAACGCGTAGAGCGGAGCTACATGCTGACATCAATGTGCTGGCCGGATTTGTTTTAAACATTGTGCAACGGTCCTGTGATATCTGTAAGTGCAATACAAGCTTGAATAAACATTCCTGTGGAACTTTACACTATGCAGAGCATCTGCTCTCTAATTTCTCTTTGAGCATATGTGGATGTTAGTTAGTGAAGGGAAGATTTATCTGGGTCCACTTTCTTTGGCCAATGTGTGGATCTAAGGAAGAGTATGAGAGACGTGGTGTGCATAGATTCTTTCTGTATATCACATGCTTTTGATAACTTCTTTAGCATTAGAGGGTCCTACACATTTGGTAAGCCTGCATTTGTGACCATTTGCTGGAGGTTCCTTGGTCTGGTGTTGGACACAATTCAAGATGGAGATTTGGTGTATCGCTCTAATTGTATAAATAATTTTCTCTGTGTGCACTTTTGCACTAATAGATTGGGACTATCTGTTTTTCACTTTACAATTAGCAATGAATGCCTCCAAATTTCAGGGCAGGAGTCCTCAAGGTTTATTGTGACAGTGCAGAGCAATGGCACGCTGTAAAAAGGATCTCGTGTCACCTAGGGTTCTCACCCGTGCAAGGTGAGGGACTTCAGGATGCATGTTCTATATGGATGAAACTGGATTTTTTATTTTCTCCAGGATTGGTAAATCTTGGTCAGGGTCCTATAGCCTAGAGGCTTTATAGAGTTCTTCTCTCGTAAGTCTGCATTTGTAACCAGTTGCTGGAGGTTCCTTGGTCTGGTGTTGGACAGAGTTCAAGATCTTTTTGGTGGATCACTCTAATTGTATAAATATTTTTTAAACATTTTTTCCAGGATTGGTAAATCTTGGTCAGGGTCCTTTAGCCGAGAAGCTTTGTAGAGTTTTCTGGTAAGCCTGCATTTGTGACCAGTTGCTGGAGGTTCCTTGGTCTGGTGTTGGACACAGTTCAAGATCTTTTTGGTGGATCACTCTAATTGTATACATTTTTCACAGTGTGGACTTTTGCACTAATAATTTGGGACTATCTGTTTTTCATTTTACAATTAGCAATGAATACTTCCAAATTTCAGGGCAGGAGTCCTCAAGGTTTATTGTGACAGTGCAAAGCAATGTCACGCTATAAAAAAGGATCTCGTGTCACCTAGGGTTCTCGCCCGTGCAAGGTGAGGGACTTGAGAATGCATGTTCTATATGGACGAAACTGGATTTTATATTTTCTACAGGATTGGTAAATCTTGGTCAGGGTCCTGTAGCCTAGAGGCTTTGGAGAGTTCTTCTCTTGTAAGTCTGCTTTTGTAACCATTTGCTGGAGGTTCCTTGGTCTGGTGTTAGCCAGAGTTCAAGATCTTTTTGGTGGATCACTCTAATTGTATAAATATTCTTTAAACATTTTTTCCAGGATTGGTAAATCCTGGTCAGGGTCTTTTAGCCTAGAGGCTTTGTAGAGTTCTTCTCTGGTAAGCCTGCATTTGTGACCAGTTGCTGGAGGCTCCTTGGTCTGGTGTTGGAAACAGTTCAAGATCTTTTGGGTGGATCGCTCTAATTGTCTAAATTTTTTTTTTATTGTGAGCAATGTCACGTTGTAAAAAAGATCTCGTGTCACCCAGGGTTCTCGCCCGTGCAAGGTGAGGGACTTGAAGATGCATGTTCTATATGGACGAAACTGGATTTAATATTTTTTATTTTTATTTTCTCCAGGATTGGTAAATCTTGGTCAGGGTCCTGTAGCCTAGAGGCTTTGTAGAGTACTGGGTGGGATGAAGCCTCCAGTCCTGGGTCCACATTTTGCCAGCCACCAACATCTTGAGTGTGCAGGTGTGCACATCCTTCTTAGGTGGGTGCTGACTATGGTTCAGAACCCCCCTATCTTATACAGATGAAGAAATGGGGGGGGGGGGGGGGGGGGGGGTTGTCTGTGGTCACCTAGGGTTCTCACCCATGCAGGGTGTAGGGCTTATGGATGTCTGTTTCATATAGATGAAACTGGATTTTTAATGTTCTCCAGGACTGGTAAATCCTGGTCAGGGGTCTTGGAGACTAGAGGCTTTGTAGAGTATTGGGTGGGATAAAGCCTCCAGCCCTGGGTCCACATTTTGCCAGCCACCAGCCTCTTGAGTGTGCAGGTGTGTACAGCCTTCTTAGGTGGGTGCTATGATTCAGAACCCCCTATGTTATGGAGATGAGGAAATGGGGGGAGATTGTCTGTGGTCACCTAGGGTTCTAACCCACGCAGTGTAAAGAGCTTGAGGATACATGTTTCATATGGACGAAACTCAATTTGTAATGTTCTCCAAGACTGGTAAATCCTGGTGAGGGTCCTGGAGCCCAAGGGCTTTGTAAAGTTTGGGTGGGATAAAGCCTCCAGCCCTGGGTCCACATTTTGTCCTTAATCTATCCATTATTATATATGTTCTCCAATTTAGGAGACTCTCAAAATTACAGAATTAAGACTGCAGTACACCTGGGTGCCATGACGTGGCTGCTACAGCTTACGCATATATTTGCAAATGTGTGCAAACTAAACCCGTTGGTTTTAACACAAACTGTTAGACAGGGTAATTCAGTTTCTTGAAGGCTGGCTGGTAAGTGAGCTGGGAATTTTTTGTTTGTGGTTTTTTGACATGCATCACCCTTGTGCTCCTTGCTGCAAAAGCTAACTAACTATAAACAAATGGCAACAGCCCCAATAAGTTGGGGCTGTTGCCATTTGTTTATACTGTTGGTGAATTGGTGAGGGGATGCACTGGATACCTTCGCTGCCACTGCGCTATTGCTGGTTGTCCAGTGCGTTCCTATACCTTAAAGGAGGGGTGGGCTCCTTCCAGGCATACCTGCCCTTAATCTATCCATTATTATATATGTGCTCCAACTCTGGAGACTCTCAAAATTACAGAGTTAGGACTGCAGTACACTGGGGTGTTGTGACGTTGCCACTGCAGCTAAAGCAGGCCATAGACGGGGAGAAAACCGGCCGTTTTTTTTTTTTCTTTTAAACGAAAAAAAAACGTTCGTTCAATCAGCCGACATTACCACTATTGGTAAAAAAAGGTCAACTGATTTCTGTCCCATCTACGGCCGGCAATTATATAGAATATATGCAGAAGGAGAAGAAGAAATAGAATATGAAGAAGAGGAAATAGAATACGATAAAAAGAAGAAATAGAATATGCAGAAGAAGAAGAAATATAATATGGAGAAGAAAAGAAATAGAATACGAATAAAAAGAAGAAATAGAATATGCAGAAGAAGGAGAAATAGAATATGAAGAATAAAAAGAAATAGAATACGAATAAAAAGAAGAAATAGAATATGCAGAAGAAGGAGAAATAGAATATGCAGAAGAAGGAGAAATAGAATATGCAGAAGAAGGAGAAATAGAATATGCAGAAGAAGGAGAAATAGAATATGAATAAATAGAAGAAATAGAATATGCAGAAGGAGAAGAAGAGGAAGAAGAAGAAAAAGTTGCGACATTGTATCTATGTGTATCTATTTCGGATACAGATGTTTCTATTTGGATACAAATAGATACAATGTTGCTATACTTTTAAGGTCAAATATAATATCGGACTGATTTTCTATTTTTCTTCTTTTTCTTCATATTCTATTTCTTCTTTTTCTTCATATTCTATTTCTTCTTTTTATTCATATTCTATTTCTTCTTCATCTTGATATTCTATTTCTTTTCCTTCTTGATATTCTATTTCTTTTTCTTCTTGATATTCTATTTCTTATTCTTCTTGATATTCTATTTCTTTTTCTTCATACTCTATTTCTTTTTCTTCTTCTTATTCATATTCTTTCTTCTTGATATTCTATTTCATCTTTTTCTTCATATTCTATTTTTTTTTTCTCCTTCTTATTCATATTCTTTCTTCTTGATAATTCTATTTCTTCTTTTTCTTCATATTCTATTTTTTTTAAAATCAGCAAAAAGGTTGGCCGATTTGTCCATAATTGCCATAAAAATCGGCCGAACGACAAAATCGGCTGACGATTTTCCAGCAGGGGCGATTTTTTAAAAGTCTCAAAATCACGAAAAACGGCCGACAAATTTCCCCACTAACGATCCGAATATCGGCCGATTTTTTTATCGGCCGAAAATTCGGCCACTTTATCGCAAATCTATGGCCCGCATTACTCATATATTTGCAAATGTGTGCAAATGAAACCCCTTGGTTTTAACATGAATTGTTAGGACAATTCGGTTGGTTGCAGGCTGGCCAGGGGCAGACTGACCATTTGGAAACTTGGGCACTGCCCGAGGGCCGGGGTCAGTAGGGGGCCCCATGAGATGCCCCTGGTACCTTTTTCATAGGCTTTTTTGAGTTTGGGCAAGGACACAGGGGCCCCATGATCCCCTATTGCCCGGGGGCCCCAGGAGTTGTCAGTCCGCCCCTGAGGCTGGCTGGTAAGTGAGCTGGGAATTTTTGTTTGTTGTTTTTTGGCATGTGTAGGTTGGGGCGGTTGTCATTTTTTTGCACATTTTGACAGCAACCAGCATCCTGAGAGTGCAGATGTGCACAGCCTTCTTAGGTGGCTGCTGACTATAGTTCAGAAGCTCCTATGTTATGGAGATGAGGAAATGAGGGGCAAATTTCTGTATTCCCAAAACACGTTTCATCCTAGGGTGACAGCACTTCTTCCCATGAACACAGTGCAGTAAGTGAGCGTTGTCACCCTAGGATAGGAAGTGCATTACTGGTAAGATCACCAGGTAAAACAAAAGGGAAAAACAAAAGCTGAAAAAAAGAAAACTAATGCAGCCATCACATTTCTGAACTGGTAAGCTGCAATATATTACATTTTTTGTTCTTAGGTTTAGGTATGTTGGGATAACTGTGGATTACTCTCCAAATGTTAGTTTAGCCTGATTGCTAAAGAAAAGAGTCATTCCTAGCCCATAAAAACTGAAAGAAACACACAGGGTTTAGTATATCTGCACTCTTCCATTATTTTTAGAAAATTACATTGGTTGGCAACCTCCGTAATTCGTATAGATCAGCTTCCTGTACAGGGTCAGATGTCCATGAGTCAACGCACCCCCCCCCCCCCCCAAAAAAAAAATCACATAGAGCTCTCCTATAGTGTGGCCGGTAAGAAGGAAGCCATTATTGTGAGCCCAGGTCTCGGATTACGCCCAGAGGTTTGCAGCAAATCACTTCGCTGATATTAAAAGCATGTGACAAAAAGGTTTGTGGTCAGACGAGACAAAATTGGAACATTTTGTTCTCAGTCCAAAGGCCCGCATATGGTACAGGCAAGACATCAAACGTTCACAGGAACTGCTTTGAAAGTGAAAACTCTGCTTCGGTGTTAAAAAAAGCTTAAAACAAGAGAAATGCTTTCTTTGATACGGAACCAAAGCCTCGGATCAAAGGGGATTACAGCGACCAAAGCGAACGAGTCAAGCGGAAAATAAGACCAACAAAATTTGATTTTGTAAATTCAATGGGGATGGTGGGTGGTCTCAGAGATGCTCAAAAACAGTTGTTTTGGGGTTTTGCTGCTGGTGATTGTCTGGTAGGGAGGATGTTCCCAACTCATTGAGGTTGATTTACTAAAACTAGAGAGTGCAAAATTTGGTGCAGCTGTGCAAGGTAGCCAATCAGCTTCTAACTTCAGATTGTTTAATTAACCTCTTCACGCCGGCCGCACCCTGCGCGCTCCCAGCACACATGTCCGGTACTCACGGAAAGGTCCCAGTCTGCTCTTTCGATCGGGACCTTTCCTGATCATGTGACCGCTGTGACGCATCGTCACATGATCCCTAAACCGCGCCCTGCCCGTCCCGCCTCCCGGCCCTTTAGGAGTTTCAGAAGCCGGGAGGCACCCTGCGCGCTCCCAGCACACATGTCCGGTACTCACGGAAAGGTCCCAGTCTGCTCTTTCGATCGGGACCTTTCTCGATCATGTGACCGCTGTGACGCATCGTCACATGATCCCTAAACCCGCCCTGCCCGTCCCGCCTCCCGGCCCTTTAAGAGTTTCAGAAGCCGGGAGGCACCCTGCGCGCTCCCAGCACACATGTCCGGTACTCACGGAAAGGTCCTGGTCTGCTCTTTCGATTGGGACCTTTCCGATCATGTGACCGCTGTGACGCATCGTCACATGATCCCTAAACCCCGCCCTGCCCGCCCGCCTCCCGGTCCTTTAAGAGTTTCAGAAGCCGGGAGGCACCCTGCGCGCTCCCAGCACACATGTCCGGTACTCACGGAAAGGTCCCAGTCTGCACTTTCGATTGGGACCTTTCCCGATCATGTGACCGCTGTGACGCATCGTCAGATGATCCCTAAACCCCGCCCTGCCCATCCCACTCCCGGCCACTTAAAGGGAAGCCGGGAGGCGCCGGCGGGAAGGGGTTAAGCTTTGACAATAAACTTTCGAATTTCCCGATCATGCTTGACGCATTTTCCCTATGCAGACCTCCCGAAACACTTAAAGCCGGGAGGGCGCCAGAAGGGGTTTTACACCTAATCTCTAGTTTTTTTTAGTAAATCAACTTCATTAGGTCAACAGATATATATGGGATACCCAACAAACTGGAAAGTGTCATTGTATAGTGGACACAGCTGCGAGTGTTTGTAGCTCACCGGGGTCTCGAGGGTTCCAACCTGTGCTTAGATCCATCACATCGGTCCAAGAAAACGGGACAACAACACAGCCATTGCAGTTCAAGTCTTAGAGGTGTATTTATAAAATATTTGCATAGCAGTTCACCCAGTGAAAGCTCATGTGCATTCTTTGTCTGAGAATGATGCAATAAACAAATGTCTGTTGAAGGCACTGATGTAAGGGGAACTCTTCTGAAGGCGGACTCTGATGTAAAGGGAGTTTCTGATGGGGACCCTGATGTAAGGGGGATGGTGATGGGGACTGTGATGTAAACGGTGCTCTGATGTCAGGGGGTTTCTGATGAAGGCGGACTCTGATGTAAAGGGGGTTTCTGATGTGGACCCAGATGTAAGGGGAACTCTAATATAAGGGGGATTCTGATGGGGAAGCTGATGTAAGGGGAATTTAGATGGGGACCCTAATCTAAGGGGGACACTAATGCAAGGGAGATTCTAATGAGGACCCTGATGTAAGTGGGAGCTCTGATGTAAGAGACAATCTGATGGGGACCCTGATGTAAGGGGAACTCTAATGAAGGCGGACTCTGATGTAAAGGGGGATTCTGATGTAGACCCCGATGTAAGTGAAACTCTGATGTAAGGGTGATTCTGTTGAGGACCCTGATGTAAGGGGGACTGTGATGGGGACTGTGATGTAAGGGGGATTCAGATGGGGACCCTGATGTAAGCGGTGCTCTGATGTAAGGGGGTTTCGATGAAGCAGACTCTGATGTAAGGGGGTTTCTGATGTGGGCCCAGATGTAAGGGGAACTCTGATGGTGAAGCTGATGTAAGTGGAACTCTGATGGGGACCCTAATCTAAGGGGGGCTGTGATGTAAGGGGGACTCTGATGTAAGGGAGATTCTAATGAGGACCCTGATGTAAGTGGGAGCTCTGATGTAAGGGACAATCTGATGGGGACCCTGATGTAAGGGGAACTCTAATGAAGGCAGACTCTGATGTAAAGGGGGATTCTGATGTAGACCCCGATGTAAGGGGAACTCTATGTAAGGGTGATTCTGTTGAGCACCATGATGTAAGGGGAACCCTGCTGAAGGCGGACTCTGATGTAAAGGGAGTTTCTGATGGGGACCCTGATGTAAGGGGGACTGTGATGGGGACTGTTGAAGTAAGGGGTATTCAGATGGGGACCCTGATGTAAGCGGTGCTCTGATGTAACGGGGTTTCTGATGAAAACAGACTCTGATGTAAGGGAGTTTCTGATGGGGACCCTGATGTAAGGGGGGCTCTGATGTAAGGGGGACTCTGATGTAAGGGGGGCTCTGATGGGCACTCTAATGTAAGGGGGATTTTGATGAGGACCCTGATGTAAGGGGAACTCTGATGAAGGCGGATTCTGATGTAAAGGGGGTTTCTAATGGGGACCCTGATGTAAAGGGGGTTCTGATGCAAGGTAGACTCTAATGGGGACCCTGATGTAAGGAGGGACTCTGACAACAAGAGTACAGGCTGTCCGACCTTTATTAATGGCTGGAGTTCATTTGGAATATCGTTCTTCCTGTTCCTGAAGTCTTTCCTGTGAGCCGTGTCCAGCTGATAACAAGGAACGCTCCAAGTAAAATGTCTTCATTCATGAAACTTTATTCAACCAGCAAATATCTGTTCTGTATTGTGTGTGGCCCCTTACTGAGAGGTGTGGAGACCCCAGACCTGGATACATGAGATCCCCCCCCCAGACAGATCCTTACCTTACACTCACAGCCCATCTCATATCTCTGGTTCAGACTCTTCTTCTGGGTTTGGGTGAGGGACTCCCATGGCCACACGAAGTCACACAGTGTGATGTGCATTTTCCCGGTCCCCTCTGCTTTACCTGGAAGAAAGGGTTTGGATGGTGACTATCTGCTCCAAAAATGCTCAGAAAGAGTAACAATACATTTAAGGCTCCACTCCGGGTAAACATCTAAATACATCGATGAAATACATATCACGGATAAAATTCAAAACATTAACAATAACATATAAAGCCATTTATAACTCTGCCCCAAATTACATCACCGATCTTGTCTCCAAATATCACCCAAACCGTCCTCTCCACTCCTCCCACGACCTCCTGCTCTCTAGCTCCCTTGTCTCCTCCTCCCATGCCCGTCTCCAGGACTTCTCCAGAGCTTCCCCCATCCTCCCGGGAACTCTCTACCCCAATTTTTCAGACTGTCGCCTACTCTGCTCACTTTTAGGCAATCTCTGAAAACCTATCTCGTCAGGAAGCCTATCCTGCCCTCAGCTAATAATGGAATCTTCTACTCGTACAACCAGTCCATCCCCCACAGTTACTACCTTTTGTACCACTAGCCCCTCCCTCCAAGATTGTAAGCTCCAAGGATCAGGACCTTCCTATCCATCTTGTATTGAACTGTATTGTTGCTGTATTGTCTCCCGTTATATTGTAAAGCGCTGAGCAAACTGTTGGCGCTATAGAAATCCTGTATAATAACAAATAATAATATCTTGGAGCTTTTCCTCTCTCTGCCACTAGATGTCTCCAGTCTTCCGGGCTGAATGATGACAGGCATCATTCAACTCACTTCCTGTGAGCCCAAGCTGTCACGGACCTGTCCCCTGGGGTTGTCATTATGGCAGCCTGGACTCACAGTACTCCTGCAGCAAACGTCGCTCACGTCATGCAATGCTTGATTGTACCGCCATATGAAATCAAACAAGATAATGTTGTTTCAATCACCTGTAATGCAACATTTTAACACTGAAGACATATACCTGCTTATGTATGTATGAGTTGAGATGCATAGATTCTGTGCATGTACCGACACTGCTGATTACACACTACTAATGTTTACATCTCCCCTGAGAGAATAGAGGGTTTGTCTTAATTTTCTAACTGCTACATATGCAGGAGAGTTTGTTCTGTTGAAAAACAACAGATCTACTGGCCAGTAATACACTGAAAGCAAACTCCAGCTAACACTTTACAATCAGTACCAGCAAACATTGTATCTTTATGGGATAAGGTTGTACATAAATAAATAAAAGCTGATCCTTGTAAACACCCCTGACAGTGTTGAATGGTTTGTCTCATCCCTGTGTCTGCAGGAGCTTGTTCTTTCAAAAAACAACAGACTTACTGGCTGGATCACCAAATGAAAATAAGAAGAAAGAAAGAAAAAAAGAAAACTAGTGCAGCCATCACATCTAAGAATTGGTAAGGTGCAATATAATAAACGTTTGCTCTTGGTTTTATTATCGCTTTATTCTTTCACTAATTTAACCCAAGCAACTACAATCGGATTTATTGCTCTGGGTTACAGCACTTTGTATTTATTTGTTGTTTCTGGCGTAACTTACTGAAGAAGAGACGGCGATATCTTAACATCTGAGAACTGAAAGCTGATTTTTGCAATACAAATATTACATAAATGCAAACTTAACTTTGCAAAACTTTTTTTGCAGCTATACGGATGTTTCCACATTGTGGGGAGGAATTATGAAAGCTACTGAACCACAGCCGGGTCCCTGAGCAAGTTTATGAACAATCTTCACGCCTTCAAGTGATATTAAAGCGATTCTAAAGGTTCTTTTTCTTTTTTGTAAAATAACAAACATGTCTATACTTACCTGCTCTGTGTAATGGTTTTGCACAGAGCAGCCCAGATCTTCCTCTTCTCGGGTCCCCTGCCAGCTCTCCTGGCTCTCATTTTCTGTTGGGTGCCCCCATTGCAAGAAGCTTGCTAAGGGGGCACCCGAGTAGGAGTGTTTCCGAGTTGCTGGACACACAGAGCTGTGGCTTGGCCCCGTCCCCTCTCTCCTTATTGGATGACTGACTGTGATTGACAGCAGTGGGAGCCAACGGCTCCCGCTTGCTGTCTCAGCCAATGAGGAGGGAGGGAGGGAGCCGGAACAGCCAAGGTTGTTGTGCACATCGCTCGTGATGGGGCTCCGGTAATTATTGAAGGGGCTAGGGGCACTGCTGCACACAGAAGGTTTTTTTCTGTCAAGAGAAAGGAGCCACCCTTCCATACAGGGACTAGAGCTGTGTCTCCTTACTCCGTGTGCATCAATAGAACACATAGCCCCCATATCCTAGGATGGCAAGACACTCCTTGAAAGTAAAAAAACCTTGAGCCTTTACAATCATTGTAAGCCCTCTGTTTTGCTGATTTAGTCACATACTTCATATGCAGCTTCTTTATCTTTCAATCCTTGCCTATGTTCCACTTTGAACTGGTGCCATGATCACTGCCCCAGGTATCCTAGTCTGCTAGCTTGGAGAAGGAAGTGGGGAGAAGGGAGGAACATGGGAGTGTCCTGCCATCCTAGGATATGGGGCTATGTGTTTCTATTGATGCACACGGCGTAAGGAGACACAGCTCTAGTCCCTGTATGGAAGGGTAGCTCCTTTCTCTTGTAGAATCCTACCGAGCCACCCTTCCATACAGGGACTAGAGCTGTGTCTCCCTACACCGTGTGCATCAATAGAAACACATAGCCCCATATCCTAGGATGACAAGGCACTCCCTCCTTCCTCCCTTCTCCCCTCTTCCTTCTCCAAGCTAGCAGACTGACTCCATACTGCACTGTCAGCTTTTAGCTCTTTCCTCTGAAGACTGGACATTCAGGGAAGCAGCACTGAAAGAGCAGGATCCAGCCGCATCGAAAGCTGTAAACTGCAAGTGGTGGAGGAAGAACTATAAGACAGTAATTAGAATAGTTTACTGGGGAAAGTATATTTTATTGTGCTCAATGTGTAAGGGTTTAATACTACTTTAAAGTAGACCGACACAATTATTCTCCTTTATCTCACAATGATGCAACATCTGCACTACTCGCTGCTCCATCACTGCCGCCGACATCTTCTGTTGGAAGAAAGCCAGCAGGGAAAGTCAGGAGCAGTGATGGAACAGCAACACAGAGCCTCACCGGGGCTGTCAAACTGACAGCTGGGTCTTTTCAGGGTGGAGGGGCGGGCAGGGGGAGCAATCAGAATACGAGATACACCCAAGTAATTTAACCTCCCTGGCGGTATTCCCGAGTGTAGCTCGGGGTAAAATTTGAGTACCACAAGCGGTAACCCCGAGCTACACTCGGGCTTACCATGCGGCGTTGCTCAGGGAGTCCCTGCAGCACTTACCTTGTCCCTTCACTCCCACGATGTGTCCCCTGCAGCGTCCCCGGCCATCTCCTCCGGCCGATGCCGGCATCCGGCTTCTGTATTCCGATCCCTGTGACGTCGGGACGTACGGGTGCCCGAACCGGCGGGGAAATTTGAAATTTTAAAAAAATTTCATTTTTGCTGTCATTGCTGTTTCAATGCATTTCACATATATTTTGTCCCTACTGCTTTGTCCGTGCCCTGTCTGCATTTTGTTCTGTTTCTGCCTGGAAACTGAGAAACGTCCATGGCGTCCAAAAAGCGTCCCTTTACGTCAAAAGCGGTTTTAGACCGGCTAGAGAACAGCGATAGTAAATCAGAACCACTTGCAGAATTGAGTGATAATGATTTGTGGGGGAAATTCCTCGTCAGACACTGAAAACGATTTTGCGACTTTGCTCAGCAATGTGCGAATTTGCCTCTGTATTTCAAATTTCAGTGTTTTTGGTTTGATTATATTATTGAATTAAATTTATTATTATTTATTATTTTTTATGATTATTTATTAAATTATAATTTATGATTTTGTTTCAAATTTTATCATACTTGGGATGTTTACTAGACTCTTGTTCGGACAGATTTCAGTGAGTTATTCCTAAAAATTACAGCCTACAATAAAAAACTACATATTTCCATGCAAAAAAATGTACCGCTTTCAGCACAAAAAATCGAAAGAATCATACCGCCAGGAGGTTAAGCTGAAGTTATTTTGGGTGTTCCTAGTACCAAGGTCAAGTCAGAAGACACAGTTGGGTAATACAAGTATCATGATCCAGTTTGAAGATCACATTATTTTAGATTCATATAAAGGGCGTAGTTATGAATATAACTCATGATGTAACTTGTAACATGGTCCCGGAACCTGGCTCCATCTTCAACATCATACAGACGCTGGGAATGAGCTGGGTGTGTACACTGCATGGTGAATGCACCACCCGACGTGTACATAAAATGAAAAAGCTGTTAGAAACAAGAAGAAGTTTTGTGGGGCAGAAGAGACTTTGCGTGTTTCATGACTTCCGCTTGAAGAGTGTGATAGCTGTTACATTATTCATTCAATTCATTAGTTCCAGTTCTTAGAAGCAAAGCAAAGGCTTGTCCTATGGGGACCTCCAGGTTTATAAGTCAGATCCTGCAAACATACCAGGGGAAATTTGGCATATAAATAAACTTTTGTCCTATTTAACCACTTACTAGCTTAGTTATTGTTACAGTAATTAGCTTGGATTGGAGTGTTGCTAAACCCCGGACCCTGCATTCACTATATCTGGTCTCCCCAGGCCCAGCATTCACTATATCTGGTCTCCCCGGACCCTGCATTCACTATATCTGGTCTCCCCGGACCCTGCATTCACTATATCTGGTCTCCCCGGGTCCCTGCATTCACTATATCTGATCTCCCCGGACCCTGCATTCACTATATCTGGTCTCCCCGGACCCTGCATTCACTATATCTGGTCTCACCAGGCCCAGCATTCACTATATCTGGTCTCCCCAGGCCATGCATTCACTATATCTGGTCTCACCAGGCCCTGCATTCACTATATCTGGTCTCCCCAGGCCATGCATTCACTATATCTTCTCTCCCCGGACCCTGCATTCACTATATCTGGTCTCCCCAGACCCAGCATTCACTATATCTGGTCTCCCCGGACCCTGCATTCACTATATCTGGTCTCCCCAGACCCTGCATTCACTATATCTGGTCTCCCCCCGACCCTGCATTCACTATATCTGGTCTCACCGGACCCTGCATTCACTATATCTGGTCTCCCCCCGGACCCTGCATTCACTATATCTGGTCTCACCCAGACCCTGCATTCACTATATCTGGTCTCCCCCCGACCCTGCATTCACTATATCTGGTCTCCCCAGACCCTGCATTCACTATATCTGGTCTCCCCGGACCCTGCATTCACTATATCTGGTCTCCCCGGGACCCTGCATTCACTATATCCGGTCTCCCAGGACCCTGCATTCACTATATCTGGTCTCCCGGACCCTGCATTCACTATATCTGGTCTCCCCAGACCCTGCATTCACTATATCTGGTCTCCCCGGACCCTGCATTCACTATATTTGGTCTCCCCAGACCCTGCATTCACTATATCTGGTCTCCTCAGACCCTGCATTCACTATATCTGGTCTCCCGGGACCCTGCATTCACTATATCTGGTCTCCCCCGGACCCTGCATTCACTATATCTGGTCTCCCCAGACCCAGCATTCACTATATCTGGTCTCCCCAGACCCTGCATTCACTATATCCACTCTCCCCGGACCTTGCATTCACTATATCCACTCTCCCCCCAGACCCTGCATTCACTATATCTGGTCTCCCCAGACCCTGCATTCACTATATCCGCTCTCTCCCCGGACCCTGCATTCACTATATCCGCTCTCCCCGGACCCTACATTCACTATATCCGCTCTCCCCAGACCCCTACATTCACTATATCTGGTCTCCCCAGGACCCTACATTCACTATATCTGGTCTCCCCAGACCCTACATTCACTATATCTGGTCTCCCCGGACCCTGCATTCACTATATCTACTCTCCCCCCCCTTACAGCAAGAGTCCCCAGCAGACTTCACATTCATTTTGATCCAACAACAATTACTTTTAACAGACAGGCAGTCATAGGTTGCTAACCTGCAATCAGATACTCTTTTTTGCCTCCCGTCTCCAGTGTCACTCCACACACTGCGGAAGAAGAAGCTGTGTATATATACTGGATGTCAACGGCGGGGCCCTTGAACATCTGCAAAATCAAGAATCAATCAATAAAATATATCCAATGATAGCAATACAGTGTATTTCAGTGAGCGCACACTTGCAGTATTTACCCTAAAGCTGCTTTCTGGGAAAATGACTATATATACAGTTAAATTACATACACTATACTGGCAAAAGTATTGGGCCAGCCCTCCAAATCATTAGGCTCAGGTTTTCCAATCACCTCTATGGCCACAGGTGTATAAAATCAAGCAGACTCCGGGGAAGTGGTATTCTACCTTAAGTTCTCAAGCGCAGTCTGGCTCAGTTCCGCTACAGGGTTCTTTACTGTCAGAGCAGTAAAGATGTGTCATTCCCTTCCATAATTGGTGGTATCAGCAGAAAGTGTAGATAGTTTCAAAATACTCTTAGCATCTTAGCAAATGCAATTAAAAGGGATAAGGGAAATGGTAGAAACATAAACACACCCACACACACAGGTTGAACTGGATGGACCGGTGTCTTTACTCAATCTCGTTTTTTTATACAATTTTATCTGCTAAAGAATCTTCGTTTTCCCCAATAAATCCTTATACCTACTACACTATGGAGATGTCTCTGCTTTGACTCCCCCGGGGAGTTTTAACCCACAGCTATCCACTTGACCACCGGAGAAGGAGCCTTTACACCCCCTATAGAGCAGTCCCTAGGCTATCACCTGAGGGGGAACTCTGGGACCACCCTGATGTCCTATTAAAAGCATCCAGGACCTCTGAAGGGATCACAAAGGATTCCAGACACTACCTAGACTGGCAGATGACATCAGGAGAAAATAATATATATAAACGGTCATTAAATTGTGCGTTCTGGTGAGTGCGCATTCTTTCCGCACTTTATTTCACAAGCACCTTACTAATAGGAGGATACAGTTACATGAAAGCACCTGGAGTCACTTCAAGTCACTTCAAGTCACCTTATATGACAACTAACTGACCACAATATTCTCTATTTGGCTGAAAAAAATGAAAAAAGCCAATTGAACCCAATGTCATTTTAATTCATACCTTAATCTGTTTGATTTCATACTGGATCCTTTTGATGGGATTCCCATAGACATCATTCCCGCTGTCCACTTCTTTACCCACAATGGCCTTGGCTCGAATCACTGCATGGAAAGAGTGGAATGGATTAATATAGAGCGGTCAAGTATCTGCAAGTCTAAGCCCTCCAGCAGCACATGATAAGTCTGGAACCTAAAAGTGGACCTGCAGGGTGGATTTGATTTATATCAAACTGATTTAAATCATGATATAAATCACGATTTAAATCACTAGTCAGTAAGGCTTGATGTAAATCCTAGTTTTCTACATAAAGACTAATTCTTGCTGGTATAACTTTAATATACAAGTAGATGAAGATTTTTAGAATAACAACTTTTCATATTAGTTTTTTATCCCCAGTTTAATAGGTTAAGCATTCATATTTGGACAACTTTTCTGTTGTACTTAGGAAGGAGAAAAATAATCATTACATTAATAATAACAATTTAAATAGATTTATTCATCTGAAACAATAACATTCCAGCATATGTGATTTGCTTAAACATCCATGTTTGTTAACTAATTTGGCTAAACAAAATCTATATATATTTGAAGAAACTTAGACTGTCAGCCCCTCCCCCTCACACTTAGTTTCACTTTCTTCTTGTGCAGATCTATTCCACTCCAAACAATCAGAAAAATATTGTTTCTATTCTATTCACTGAACGTCTTGAAACTTCGCACTGAAGGGGTTGATTCTGTATTCATAGGTTTGTAGAAGTTAGGATGAAGGTCTTTTTCTTAACTCTGTTCATGTTATAACATTTTTGCTGTGAAGAAGAGGCATGTGATCTCCGCTGAGTCCAATTCAGAGAACTGCAAAAGTAAACCAATCATCTGTGATAATATCTTGTAGGCAGAGAAACTGCCCAATAATCTTACAGAAACCTCTGGAAGAGCATGACATTGTGAATGGATTCATGGAATTTATGTACCAAAAAAATGAAACATATACAGCCTTATTCTACATAATTAAAAAACGAATCTTTATTTCATGATGGAATAACCTTTGGATGGTAATATATTTTCCTCAAAAAGCAATTTATTAAAAAAAAATCCGATTTAAATAAAAAAAATCCGATTTAAATTAAAAAAATCCAATTTTTTTTGATTTTTTTTTTTAAAAATCATTGATTTTTATCCACCCTGTGGACCTGTCACCTACACACAGAAAAAGCCCCAAACCAGATTCTTCTACAGAGATTCTTTCCTAGATACCAATATATATGTGACAGTTGGGAACTTCCTTCTAGATTTCTACAAAAAAACTGCATGAAGTTGTCATCATTTATACAGATGAAGAGAGAATAAAGGAGCCTCCCATCAAAACACTGGAGTCTGAAAGTATTCATTCCATTAAAATGGTGCAAATGAAATCTGCATAGGGTCTAATGCGTTTCAGGGGCTCAAAAATGCTTTCAAGACTTGAGATATACCTGGAAAAGAGAAATGAAGGAAGATGGTTTTCATTCACATCTCAAGCCCTGGGAAAAGGGACATTCTTGGGACCCCGAAAAGCACTGGCTGTACAGGCTGAGTTTATTTAAACCATTTTATTGGAATAATTAGGTTTTGGATTCTGAAGTTTGTGCTCCTGATCTTTCCACTTTACCAATTTCACTCTCAATGGCTATTGGAGGTTCTTCTGTCAGTGAGAGCTGCCGGCCCAATGTCATGCCTTGTGAAAAAGATACACTTCTGACACCGTTCTAAGCAATTCAGATTCAGTATATGAAAAAACACATACACAGAGTTTAAAGTGGTTGTAACCCCTTACATATACCTAATTCAGTGGCTGACCTCAGAGATGAAACAAAGATTCCTACATAAGTTGTACCTGTTTATCTGTAACAGTTTTCTCCTACATCCATTCAAAGTATAGAATTTACACAGGACCTCTCAGCTCTGAAAAGCAGGGGGGCGGGGAGCTGAAGTTACATCAGTGAGGAGAGCTCTGAGAGCTGATTGGGAGGGATGGGACACCCCCCCCCCCCCCTCCATTCAGCATACAGGAATAGAGCTAAGGCTGTCAATCTGCTGGAGGTCCCTCCCGTCAACATTTTGCTCTTGGTGTCAGGAAAACTATCAGAAATGACTCATGCTCATAGCAGAGGAACGAGGCAGTGTACAGAAATGACACTTAGGGGTTTATCTACTACAGATGGATAGTGAAAAATCAGGCTCACTTCTGCAAAGAAACCAATCAGCTTCCAGGTTGCAATGCCAAAGCTAAACTGAACAAGCTGAGGTTGGAAGCTGATTGGTTTCTATGCAGAAGAGAGTCTGATTTTGCACTCCAGTTTTAGTAAATAAATCTTTTAGTGCTCTGGACTGAAACAAGTACACACCATAGAGGGATATGCTTTGTTCATATTTCATGTCTGAGGTTTGCAACAACTTTAAAGGCAGTCAGATGTTTCCTTCCATTTTTCAACTAACATTTTGCAAGGAAAGGCTGAAATTAGAATGGCTGCTGGGTATGGATGATGTGGGTCCCAGACAGTTCTCATTTCAGATACTCTGAAAAAACGAGGTCAGTAGAGCCATTGTGTAATAATAGCAGAATAGGCGTATTTCAGCCATGTCAAGTGACCTATTCAGAACCGTGCCACACATCCCGAAATAAACATGATACTGCCTTTGAAGCAATCATTAGTATCTCAGCATCCTTTTGTAGATGGGGTTGGCTTTAAAGCAGCAGATGGGGTTAGTCAAGGTGTCCGGGAAGTGATTAATAAACTCCTGAAATGAACGGTCAGCGATCATTTATATAGGGTGGTGGAGCAAAAACGATGGTTGTGGAGAACAGACAGATCCAACTCAGTTCCTCTCATGTGCTGCTGAATCATTAGACAAAAATGCATCCAAATTCTGAGAGGATTTGTTGGAAACAGAGAAGCTTTGTGGAGGGAACTGCTAGTCTGCACTTTCCAAGCCAAAACCAAAGCAACGGAGCCAAGAGCTAGTGCAGAACGCGTGATGGGAGAGAGCGAGAAACAGGAGACAAGAGAGGACACTGATAAAATGATAGGCAACGATAAAAGCACAGAGGATGGAAACGGATAATACGACCAAGTGCAACACAGACATGCCATCATTGTAGAGGGATCTCCGATCTACGGCACTGGGTGACACGTTTCTGGAAATCAAGAGAGGAAAGGGCGAGGCGCACTGTAGACACCTCCAGCTTACCATGGGCAAAACAATGAGAGAGGGTTTACAATCCCCCAGATGAGCTTCAGAGAATCATTTATAGAAATAAAATGGGTGCCTGATCCAGGCAAAAATGACTGTCACTCAACGCAGTGGTTCTCAATCACTGGGCCAAGGCCCACTGCTTGGCCAAGGCCCTCATCCTTTCGGGTCTCCAGCCAGCTGCAGATTCCCTAACATTTTAAGGTGTCCCCCAACCTCCCACCTCTAAACCTCCCACAGTTCCTCCAGTCCCTTAAGAGTTTGCAGCCCCCACAGTGCTTCCCAGCCTACCACAGTACCCCTCAAACTAGTGCAAAGTTCCCCAGCCTGCTGCAGAGCCTCCAGCCCCCCTTAGTGTTCTCAACCACCAACATTTTCCCACAATGCCCTAAGTCCCCAGCCTAATGGGGAGACCCCAAGCCCCCTCCAGAAACCTAATCTCCTACAGGCGTCCAAGTGCACTGTTGATTCCCTAAAGTGGTTCTAAAGGCAGAAGGTTTTTTACCTTCATGCATTTTATGAATTAAAACTGACCACCAATGTAACAATGTATGAGACATTCCTCCCTCTGACCACCACCATAAGGGATATTCTTCCCACTGACCACCAATGTAAGAAATATTCTTCTCACTGTCCTCTAATGTAGGGGGAGTTCTTCCCACTGACCACCAATGTAAGGATCAGTCTTTCCACTGACCACCAATGTAAGGATCAGTCTTTCCATTGACCACCAATGTAAGCAGCATTCTTTCCACTGACCAACAAGGTAAGGAGCATTCTTCCCACTGACCACCAACGTAAGGGGGTATTCTTTTGACTGACCATCAATGTAAGAGGCATTTTTACAACGTACCCCCGAATCTTGGGGTCTCCGAGACTTGAATATAATCTTAGGGGTTCCTTTGGGTAATAAGGTTGAGAAAGGCTGCCCCTTTCCTTGCCTAATCCTCCGGACCCCGATGCATATAGCAGCCATGATGCCTCGTACTATAGTCCTAGTGGTCTGTACACCATAAACTGCCATACACATCCCCAGATTAGATATCTATTATAATGCCTGAAAAACCAAGTGTTCATTGGTCAGCGAGATTACATGACCGCACTGACCAATGATTAGCGCTTCTTTCTCCGGGGACACATTACCTAAAGAGGAGCCTAATATGTACATCTCATTGGTCTACATGGTCACAAGGCTGCACAGACCAACCAGCACTTGCCATTACGAACATTATGAAGGATGTTCACTTTGGAGCTGTGTATTGTGGTATATGGACTGCTACAACGGCAAAATGAGGCATCGCGGCTGCTATGTTCAGTGTGGTCTGCAGGGGTGGCCAAGGTATTTGAAGTTAGTTCATCTTTTCATTTTTTGTGAAAAGGTAAACTTGCCTTTTAACCACCTCCCGTCCGGCCGTTGTATATAAACGGCTGGACGGTGGCAGTGCAGGGTCGGGATGGCCGTTTATAAACGGCCTCCCCGCACCCTGCTTGTGCGTGCTCCCTGTGAGCGCACAGCACCGCGATCCGGTGCCCGCTGTGTCCTCCGGACACAGTGAAACACTGATCGTCGGATGGGATCTCTGTGCGAGGTCCCGATCATGTGATCACTGATTGGCCAATCAGTGATCACATGCAGAGTAGTAAGCAAGATGTCACTTGTGGCATCATTGCTTACTACGTGTGAAATCTGTGAATGATCACAGAGGTCACATGGTACAAGGCTATTCACAACTGCCTTGTACCATGTGACAAGCTGTGACCAATCACAGCTCACTCAGTAGTTCTCAATGGCTGCAAGAATGCAGACAGAGAGAAAGAGAAATGATTGCTTTTACATCCTATATGGGTGTAAAAGCAATCAGTGTAAAAAAAAAAAAAAAAAATCTTCA